CGGGCTCCGCGCTGCAGCCGCCGGGACGCGGAGCGACGGGATCTTTCGGAAAGGGGGCACCGGACCTCTCACCTGTGCAAAGAGAAGGGGGGAGGGAAGATCTCGCTCAATGGAGGGGCTCTGCTCCCCTCGCCCTCCGAGCAGCACTAGCAGCAGCCATTCATTGTCACCCTAGGCAAGCTCAGCGGAGAGCAGCGCACTCGATCGAGCCGGGGGAGCGCCGCGCGCCGCCGAGCCGAGCCGAGCCGAGCCTCCAGCTCTCTGCTCCCGAAGACCTGGCTAGTGGAGCTCCGAAGCAGCTGCTGACTCGCTCGCGCTCTCCACTCCAGCGATCGGCACCTTCTTTTCCCTGGAAACGGAGGAGTATTTGCTTTGAACTCGCCAGCCAGCCAGGCCAGCCCGATTTTTTATCAGACTTGGAAACAAGTTTCCATGCCGGAGGGAGGGGGGGATATGAGAGCGCCTAGGAGGAAAAGAGTCTAATCTGAAGGATCTGCAATTATGGAATATCAGAATATTTAAGGAAAGACTGTGTAAATGACGGTCCAGATTCTCCCTAATATGTTCCTATATCTATTAGATTTACAACGTTGAATCCTTCCTCCCCAACAAAGTAAACACAAGGTTTTCCCCTCCCTACCCTGACGATACCGAGGTTTCCTGTAAATCCAAGGCTAAATCACTCCGTTTCTCTTGAGTGTAACTAAAGAACTGTCCTTTACAAACCTCACAACTCAGTTAAGGTTGCAATTAAACAGTCAGAGCTGGAAAGTGATAAGTTTGGGCTTTTTACTAGAATTGGGGAACAAATATTCAGAGTGCTTAGCAACCTCCAAACTTGGATGTACTGCCTTGAACTCCTGGCCCACATATCTACAAGTGCCAAATTTAGTTAGAGATAATGGTAGGTTAGTATGCTGAATCTATTTGATTGGAAATACAATTTTCTGATTTCAAGGGAGTATATTACTAAGCAAGAAGATAAAGCATTAGAATATTTTCTAGACAATGTTCCTAGAATGAGGCAAGAAATAATCAGTATTTCTTTAGCTGAAGTTGCAATTCAGCCTTCCCACTAATTTCAGTGAAAAGCTAAGCACAGCCTGTATCTAAATTGCTAATTCTTTTGAGTTCTGATGCTCTAATTGGGCTATATATTTTGCTTCTGTTATAAAAACCTATGTATATAAGGATTTAAATGAGAATAACAGAAAAGCTAATAAAATGTAAGTCTCATCCTTTGTAGATAAATTTAAAAAGGGTCTTTTGCAAATTGTGACTGCAGTTTATTCTGAACTCTCTGACAATTAAAGATTGGTGATTAGTATCACCTTCATTGTCTGTATTGCATTTTATCATTACTCTAGTCTCAACTCCATTTGAAATGAAAATGAAAATCTCATTTGAAAATTAAATCTCATTTTCAAACCATTTGAAAATGAGATTTCATGAGATTATACCCATCTATTGCTACACCTTTGCCTTAACTAAATGTGTATTCTTGGGTCTGAAACTTCTCTTTGCTAATGTTAGAGCATCGTGAATGTTGATTATGCTATATTAGGAGTAACAGTATCATATATAAGTTCAAAAGGAAGCAAACTTTCAGAAATATTGGGGTTTTCCTAACCTATATATTTAAAATATGTGTACTGCTTTAGTTTTTGATTTTGATTTTTTGATTTAGTCTATCCTAGGCTTGTTGACAAAAAATGGAGAAGGGCAAGGATATCTTCAGGGGCTGTTTGTTAATAGTTGGATTCACATATTGCACTAACCCCAAACTAAAAAAGCATATTATGGCTTAGCCTGGTGTATAAAAACCCAGCCAGCATGATGTCACTAAAGTTGCCAAAACAGAATGTTGCCTGGAGTGATTCTGTGCTTTAAAAGGGAGCTTAAACTTCAGACCTTTCATAACATGCAACTGAACATTTTCTTCTGTTAATTCTTGCTGGACAAACTGCAGTTAGGCAGAGGAAGAGACAGAGGGGGGAAGGGCAACCAAGTAGTAACTAAAACAATATCACGACCTTAGATTCAAATCCCCAATGTGATCAGTACATTTTTAGTGCCTGGAGTTTTTTAGAAGATGGAGGCAATAAACATACAATAAACAAAATAGTTGTTCAGGCTCCTGTATGTTTATAAAAGAGGGGATTCTAGTAGGTGCAGTTTTTTCACCTCTTTGAAAAACTGTATGTTACCATATTCCCTGTCCTACAGAGATGCAGGGATTTCTGCTGCTGTTCGTCCTAATTTAATACATTTAATAGTATTTCTGCACACTTTGAAACCATTTAAAATTAATAATAACTTGATTAACCACAGCTATCAAATCTAAATGTCATTTATTTTGCTGTAAGACCAGAACTCTTTGTAGTCCAGTAAGTGAACACATGCTTGTTTGAAACACAGCTCATCCTAAGGCAAGAATATCAGATCTTCTCCTAAAGGCAGTTACTGAATTTATTCACCATGTTAAACCATAATGTGGTCTGTCTGGTTTTGGCTTAATATGATGTGTGAACCAGGAACTGTCTGCAGTGATCTGGACATTGCGCTGAGAAGATGTAAATATAGACAAAATGTGACCTTGTTGAATTGCTGTTATCATCCTTTACTAAGGTTGGTGAGAGCTGAGGGGCAGAAATTGTCAATTCCTGCATTAAATATTAAAGCCTATTACCTGGTGATTTCTGCATCACTGTACTCATATAAGAAAAGACTCTTCCACTTAACTTTTCAATGTGAGACTAAAGGATTAAAGTCAAAAGAAAGATGGTGGTTTTAGTTATCAAAAAATACAGGGTAATGTTGCTTTATAAGAGCAACATATTTTTTGAATTCATGGTAAGACACATACACTCTAAGTCATCTTTTGCACCTATTAAGGCAGATATCCTTTATGAGCTTACATGGCCAAATAGGCTCTATTGATAGGGCAGGAGGTTGCTCCTATATGGGTGTATGAAGAATAATTCTGTAATGGAATCAGTTTCTTTTTTTCATCTTGGTATTCTGGCTGATAGAGATTTTGTGATATCTTTAAGAAATACACGATGCTATTTGACAAAAAGCTGCCAAGCTTGAAATTAAGATTTTAAATTTTGTTAGGCTATGGAGTCATGTTTTTAAGTCAGCTGGGACAAATCTATTTTTGTCAGCATTAAAATATAGATAACTTTTTTCACTTGGTTTGATGGAGATTGTACAAAACCAAAACATAATTTCACTAGCTCCATTCCAAAATATTAATGTGTCTTGATTCTTTTAAAACACTGATAAGAATGTCTTCTTTATTTTGGAAAATTAAGGATTGGTGTCTTTTAAGCTTTATTTAAGTAACAATCTTAACGGTGAAGGGAGTTTTAAACTTTCTAAGATTGCAAAAGCATTTGGGTTAATTTCTCTGTATCCTCTCTTCTGATAATGTAGCATATTTCTGTAATATATGCAGTGGGGCACACATAGGTAAGAAATAGGACCATGTCCATATTCATGCATACAGCTAGTTCTTTAGACATTGAGACTAATGCATGTATATTTGGGGGTGGGGTGGAATAATGGAATGAGGCTAAGTAATGTATCTCTGCTCTTTGCATTACATGTGAATAGCCTGTGCAAGTATAATGCATAAAGAAGTCTTACACTAATTACATAGGAGTATATTGTCAAATACCTTCTAGGCAGAGTTCCTATTCTTGGAATCTTTTTTATGCACATTTCAGGGGATCAGAAATCTAAATCATTCACCTATAATTTTGAACCACTGATTTCTATCAAAGCATTGGCTTTTATTGCCTGAGGGACATTCCCTGAATTTTGTGGTTTTTTTTTTTACTCCCAGCCTTGCCTATGTACAGGATATGGCTACAGGGTGTAAGAAATTCTGAATTTGTAATTGCTGAGAAAGATGTTTGTATGTTCTATATGCATTTCGGAAACCTGCAATTTTACAGTAGTTAAGTCAGAGGGTTATGAAAGCTCATTTATGTTGACTATGTTTGCAAGATATGCTTACTTATGGTTTAGTGAACATAGTTTATATAACCAGTGTTCTGGGTTTATACCATATACTTAGCTATAAATTAATCATACTAGGTTGCACAACATGCTAGACTATAATATTGTTGAGTAGTTCATGGTTCAGAGTGTTGTGAAAATATAGCCTATTCACACTAAAATGTTTCTTTCTCTGTGTTCAAGAGAAGAACCTATCTTGAGCATTGCCTGTATTTTCTAGAAATATACAAATCAGCTGAGTTTGCACAACACATTAAGCCATAAATCAGGGCATACAAAAAACAATATTTAGACTCATACAATATGCTAAACAGGTGGCAAGCAACCACATTTTGGCTTAGTGTGATGAGTGAATCAAACCACGGAATCACACAAATGGTCCATCTAGCTCAGTGTTATTTGTGCTCACATGACATACTTATCTATACTCATGTTTTATTCAACTTTATGGATTTATATAATATGTTGAACCACAGACAAGCCATAGCTTCATAAAACATACTAGGCTGAAATGTAGTTGTCTATGGTACGATGCATTACACATACAGAATCAGTGACTGGCTGAGTTTTGAGGATGAAACTAAATTTTTTTAATGCAAAGCGTGTTCAGTTGCTAATCTGGTATTGATTAGCTCCAGCAAATCTCATGTTAGTCATACGTAATAAGCAACCCTGAAAATCTTTATATATTTACTTTGAAAGATGCATTCAATGCTTATATTGAAGAGTAGAACATATTTAATGTAAATATACATAGGAATCAAACATTTCCATAAACATCTTCAAATATGAACTATACATAATTATTACATTGTAAATTCCACAGGGATATCAGGTCTGCTTATATTCTGCCCCTAATATGTAAATTTCCAGAAGGTCAGACAATTTCTCTGTGAACCATCTTCTAAAAGATTTGAAATCCTTTATCATTTGTGCAGTACCCAAATTCTGTGTTGCCACAATGAAAATAATTGGTCACAGAAATAACCACTTCTGTTTTATTTATCACTTTAGGTTTAATACATGCTATCTCATTTTAGGTGATATATATTTTTACTTCATAGATTGTAATATTTTAAATCTACACTTGCACAGGTAATTAAAACACCATTATAGTAATGTATATTACATTTTTATTTGTTATTTTATCTTTGTTATGCTAGTATTTTATCTCATCTATCTGATTTTACTTTGGTGTATGTTTTCAAGTTTTGTTGGTCATTGACCGAATAAACAGTATTTCAATTTCGAACTATAGGTATCTTCCTTGGGCTCATTGACTTAATGACTGATCCATACCCCAGACTGAAATGAGAAGAACAACCTTTTGACAATCATAGAGATATTTTCCAAATAATCAGAATTCTTGAAAAACATATAGGTCAGGAAACCAGTTCTTACTGCTTTCATATCTTTTGCTGCAAGAGTTCGCAGCGATGCTACACTGAATTCTTTCAAACTACGTAAGCCCACATAGGTTTACTCAGAAGTTAAGCGTAAATAAGGTTCAATCCTATACACATTTACTTGGGAAGAAGTGATCCTAAAAACAGAGGAGCTTGTTTTTGAATCGACAGGCATAAGAAACCCAATACAGTACATAAACTTTCTGAAAATGAATTAAGAGTCAATTTTATTCTCTCCAATGAAGAATCGTGCACAACTTCTCCAATGTACTTGAATCTTAATCCTACCGCTGTTTATCGCCGTTTAATGCAGTTGTTTGTAGGCATAAAACAACAGACCGCGGTGGGCGTTCAGATCCGATTCGAGGAGCCCTTTTCGAACAGGCGAGCGACTTTGGAGAACGCTCGATTTTCCTACCTGCTACATTAGGAAGAACTTTTCTTCCCTTTTTTGACTGTCTAGGCGACCCGTCTGCTGCCACGGTTCTATTGGCTAGCAGGATATCAGCTGATTCTTTCCCAGTCACTTTCAATATGGCGCTGACGGTGTAATCTAGGCTGAGAAACGTGGACATTAATTCTGGTTGGTTGTGCTATACATAGGGGAGCTTACATCGTGGGACTTCCTTTAATTTTTTTCCCCCCTCCCTGATTCCTTGGGAGAGATTTTACAATTCAGCTCCGTGTCCTTTGTCTGAGGCATGGCCTGATCCAGACAACAGCAAAAACAGAAACGTTGCTCGAGGTCGATGTTACCTCCCTCAGAGAACCCAGATTTCAGTCTTCAAACCGCGTCACCCCCGCGTGTCTGCAGTTGCATGCAAAGACTTGTAGGAGCGTAATGGTAGTCTACAGTTAACTGAAAATTACAGATTGGCTGTGCAGTAAGTGTAAAATGATAGAGTTAAAATTATTTTGCTTCTCTTATTTGGTATGCTGTTCCTGTTACAGTTAAGAAGGTTCCTGATGTTTAGATAAAATCTACTGTTTCTTAAAAGATGGCTCTTAAATGTGCAGGCCTCATCTCTGAGATGGGGGGGTGGGGTTGTGTGCCTCCAGTAATTTTCTGTTGGTCATTACTGTTTCTCATATCAAGTACTGATAATATTTCTCCAGACTGTAATTCAGAAATAGTTTTGCAGGAATAAGTTTAAGGCCATATATCTGTACAAGAAGAGGCACAAACAAAATATGTGTCCTTATTTTGTATGAAAATCACAAAATCAGTGAGAAGGTTTGCCACTGTACATTCCCTTTCTCCACCCCTGCACCAAATTCTCTACTGCAGGGATTTTCAAGCTTGTTCAGATCATAGAACCTGTTAGTTAAAAAAAAAAAACCCACTGGAACTCTTGATCAAGAGGCAAAGTAATGAGTTGTCACGAGTACAAAACCCCTTGAAGAGAGCTTCTATATATCAGCCCATAAGCCCCACATTTCTGTTTTACCTTAGAAAAATTGCTATGTATGCCCCTGCTGAGTGTACTTTTTTTTGCCCTTAGTCTCTCACAGAACCCTAGGGTTCCATGGAATAGTTTGCAAAACCTTGTTTTACCTGACATGGCTGTGTAAGGCTCTGTGTACATGATACATAGAACCAGGGATTAGCCATTTTAGCCTATGTGTTGCAGGATCTAGACGGTAAAATTAGTTTATTGTTCAGTGTATCATGCAAACCCAGAAAATTGGATTAAGCTGTGGTTAAACAAACCATGGTTAGGTTCATTGGGATAAGTGTTATGTGAATATAGTCTGAGATACTCTGTCCTTGAAAGCTGAATCTAAATACAGAATAGGCGTGCTGATTTATAAATGTTTGGAAATTCAGGGCTCATATAGTATAAATAGTATTTCTTTACTTTTCAGAAAATAGTTGGAAGAAATTGATGACAAATAAATGTCTCTGAGGATTTGGCTGAGACTTACCTTGGCTCCGTATAGAAATGAAGCAACTCTAACTGCAATTTCAGTCAGAAATAATTCTTTTAACAAAGGCATGGAGGGTAATCAGAGTCAAGACATGGTAACAGAAAGCTGTAATCTGGAGCAAAACATGGCTCAGTCACCTACAGTGAGCACAAGTGGTGGCAGTGAGCCAACAGAAAATGGTGGGAAAATAATCACAGAAGGAAAAGCAAAAGTGATTTTCCCAAATGCCAATGAAGTGTTTTACAACCCTGTCCAGGAGTTCAACAGAGACCTTACGTAAGTAGGGAGTGGGATGACTTCACAAACTGTTTTCTGTTGGATTTTTCAGAAGTTGGAATGAGTGATGATGGAAGAGGATATCCCTTTGGTTTAGGGGAGAAATAGGATATAGTTGGAATAGCAAGTTGGAATTCCTGAATTAAAGTAAGCTTTGGAGTTAGTTTTATAACTGAAAATATTATCTATACCTGAGAAGGAAGAGATATTCTCCTATGATAAGGTTCAGAGGGTATATTTCTTTGGGTTCTATCTTCCTTGTCTTGAGATAATTTTCATTAGCAAAAAGATTCTGTCTATACCTTTTCACTTTCTAAAGGCCCTTGGGGAAGAACTGCCACTTATTCCTTGTAAGGACTGGCTATGTATTTGAAGGAATGAGGAATTGAATGAGGAATGTATTTGAAGGAATATGGAATCCTCATAAGGACAGGCTATGTATTTGAAGAACATATGCCAGAGCATATCTACTCTAGCTTTTCCCCACTTCAAGATCTGTTTTGTAAAGGTGATTTGGTGCCCCATTTCATGGAATGATCAGGCTGCGGGGGTCGTTGGTATTTATTTTTATTTTTATTTTTCTTTGTATTCCTTTTTTGAAGGGCAGGCCCCAATTGCTATCAAATAGTAGATAAGTGTTTGCTTAGATATTGTCATAGTGCATAGGTTTAGCAAGTCCCAAATACGATGTTGTCTTACGTTAATTTTTTTTCAGTTTTCAATCTGATACATTAATTTTTGTTAATATGACAGTCTATAATCATAGAAAACCATAATTAATGTAAGAGGAACAGTGAGGGAAAATGTTCATTTAGTAAATATTTTTTCAAATAAATAATTTGCTGCATATGTAGAACTTTAACGTGAGCAATGCACTGAGGAGATTCAAAGTCAGTTCTTTTAGATTAGATCCCAAGAGCCCTGGACTGATGTGCTGAGCAAATGATGATTTCAACATATAAGTGTAAAATTGGAAGGTAGAACAACCAATCTTTTTTTAAATTATTGTATTACTTATGGAAATTTTGGTTCATTGTAGAAGCAATTTCATAAGTATTTAGTTGTTACATATCAGGCAAATGGATCTTTCATGCTGTATAACAAGGAAAAAGTTTGTGTTATATTAGTAGAGATAAGCAAATAATAGATCAGAAATCAATTTCTGGTGGACTACATAGCATCTGATGCTTATGTGCATTCTACAAAAATTCCTGGGATTTGGTCTGATTTAGCAATTATGATGCAAATTACATATTTTGAGGTATTTAATACAGAATAAATATGTATTCAGCTACAAAAAGATCTGCCTCTCTGCACTCTTACTGTTAAAAGCTGTTGGTGTAGCATAGATACAATGTTAATAATAATAATTTATTAAAATTATATGCCACCCAACTCCCAGCAATATGAAAACAGTAGTTGTAGGAGGGAAGATGTATATACAGTTGAAGTTAATTTACTTTGAATCTAAGAAGTGTTATTGATTTGTCACTTTACTTGAAAGATTTTCTGAAATGATTGATAGTTTTGGATGCTGAACTGTGTAATCATCCTTTGTAAAATCAGACATTCTTGCAAGTACTGTATGCATGTAGATATTTAATCTTTAATATATATTTGGGCACTTATTAAAGTTTGTAATATGTACTTTTTTCCTCACATTTAGGTGTGCAGTCATTACAGAATTTGCTCGTCTGCAGCTCTCATCAAAAGGAATTAGTAGTGAGTGGCAATGCTTTCATCACTATTCCATCTAAGGTCCATCAGGTGAAAAACAGTGATATATAAGAAGCAAAATATGGATATCTTCTCTCTGATTATTGTTTCTTAGTAATTCAGGTGGTGGCATTTTTTCCTGCCTGCCTGCAGAGAAAGAATGTGTGTGCATTTTTAATAAAAAGCTTAATTAGAACTTAAGGCAGTATTTAATTTCTTCTGTCAGGGTATTGGAAAAGTGATTTTTAGCAGCTGTGAAGAGAAGTAAGCAGACCCACTTTTAATTCTTAGGAATTGTCCCTAGAATAACAACATAGAATGTTTTAATCTTCTGTAATTTGTTCTTGTTGCTTTTTAGCTAAGATCCTGTTTTATAGTGTAAAAAAGAAAGAGCAGCTGCAGTTTACTTGCATATTATGAGTAACTTTTTTTGACAGCGTAGCTCTCCATACCCCTATCAAAATGTTGAAGGATATTTGCAAGCTTTCACTAGGGGTAAAATTAAACAGAAGAGGCAGCTTTGTAGTTATCCTTATAGTTGGTTACTCTCTGATCAGGAGAAATATCATTTAACGGAGCTGAATATTGAATAATGATCTATATGATGTAATTGTATAAAAGATGTAGGGACTGAGCATTTGTTCAGGCAGGATACCAAGCGTGGGTTCATTTCTTCTGTCTTTTTTATCCAGTTGCAGTCCCTGGGGAAGAAAATGCCTCTAAAGTGATTGTTGATCTCTCTGAAAAGGGAAAAGATGACGAGTTGGAACAACTGAGTGATAGAGATATTTCAGATAAGGAGGCTGCCACAGTTGCAGAAGTGGGTGAAGTATGCCAGGTACTGTATCTCTATATCCACATTGGGGTTTTGAGGGTGGACTGGATGAATCAACGGATTGACCATTACCAACCTGTTGTTGCCCAAATATATTTGGCTTAAAGTTTCTATCATTCGCAGCCATCATGATCTTTGGCTGTTCTTGGTGGAAGCTTGCTTTGCTTGCTTGCTTGCTCATTCAGTCATTCATTCATTGTTTACACTTCCACCCTCCCACAATCCAGAGATTCTCAGCAGCTTACATAAAGTATAAAACCAAATAAAACATCAATGCAATAATAAAACAACCCAACCCAAACAAAAACTTTTTTTGTGCCTTCAAGTCAGTTTTTGACTCCTGGCAAATGCCTGGACTAGTCCCTGCATTTTCCTGGTAAGATTTTTTGGAAGTGGTTTGTGTAGTGCAAAAAGGGAGCACTGTAAGCTGTTTGTGTAGCGTGCCCACGGCTCCCAGCCGCAGGCTGCCAGCGTGATCACATTGCTTTCGATGTGTAGAAGAACAAACAGTTATGCTCTTGCAATCCCTTCCTCTCCAATCTCTCTGCTCTGCAAGGGGAAAAAAAAAGAAAAAAACACAGATCGGGCACAGGAGAACACGTACTGACTGTAATGGCAATCATGTGACTGAGGGACACTGCAAAGGTCATAAATGGTCATAAATTGGCCATAAAGTTATTTTTTCAGCACCATCATAACTTTGAATGGTTGTTGAATGAGTGGTCAGTAAGCGAGGACTACCTGTATTATATAGTCAAAATATGTTCTGTCTTTTCCCTGTAGGGAGCTTAGGATGGCATACAGCTTTCTCTTACATAGAACACAATATGGGTATAACAAAATAAAATAAAGGTATTTATAAAAATATCTCATCCTCCCAAATTGCATACGTTCCCCCACACTTTTGGTGAGATTTCACATGAAAACATTGAACTCTCATGATTTAGTGAGCTCATGATTATATGACAATTTTCACTTTTTTTAAAAAACATTTAATTTCGTTTCAGGAGATCATTAGAGGATTTTGCAAATGTCACCTTGTTGAACCTCTCTCTACACAATGCTGACTATCATGCTTTACATTCTAAGCTCTATGTTTATTATATTGTATCCCATATTTCAATACTACCACAATTAAGATATACATTTTAAAATATAAAAATAAAAAGAATACAGTTAATATCAGTATAATTCATATCAGATGAGCTTAACAAAAACATGATGGAAAAGATGGGGTGCCATTTTCCTGAATCCTGGGAGGATGGTGGCTTACCACATCTCCTTGGGAGGTGCCTTGGATAACCTGAGAACCACACAAGAGAAGGCCTTTCCCTCATGCCAAATAGATGGCCTGGCTGTGCTGTGCTGGGATCTTCAGAGCAGCTATTTGAGGCAGTGACATATCTCTGTCTACTGAGTAATATAACACAAGTCCTGTCTGTTTCAGAGGCCTTCTTCTCTATCATGGCATATCATTGTATCATGTGTTATATAAATATGAAATATATAAATATGAAATAACCCACTCCCTACAACTTCTGTTATAGCCCAACTGATCACCCTCTGTTGGGCTATAACAGTTATTTTCCAGTAAAGAATCTAGGACTTCGGAATAGTTGCTCATTTGAGCATAAGTTGAAGCATTCAAAAGGGTCTGCTTCAAGATATGATGCAAACTTTTGTATTGATTTGAGCATGGACAGTCATCCGGCACCATAAAGCACATAGGAAAGACACATTCTGATAATTGCTGCTTGATATTCTTGAAACTCCAGGGCTGGGCTGGAGGTTGAGTCAGCGGTGATCCACATAGTTTTGAGTCAAATACTGACTTGAAATGATGTGGATTAGCTTAGTTCCAAGATCTCTTTCAGGTTTTTTTTGGTTTAACTTTTTTTCTGCCTTTTACAGGAGGGACTCCAAGTGCTGGAGGCCCTGGCTGCTTCAGGACTGCGTTCTATCCGGTTTGCCAAGGAAGTGCCTGGCATTTGCAGTGTAGTGGCTAATGATAATTCTTCTAAGGCTGTTGAGTTCATCACCCAAAACATTAAGCTCAATGGCGTGGAACACCTGGTGACGCCAAGCTTGTCAGATGCTCGGTCAGTAGACTTCTATGCAAGATGGGGTTGCCAATTACTTCTTTTGATTCCCTTGGCCATTTAATATCTTGAAACCTAGCAGATAAACTCTTGCTTTGCAAAAGAAATAGAACTGTTGTTTCTAATAATAATAGCGGAAGTATCTTAAAAGAAGGAAAAGCAGATTAGATTTCATGCAAACTCTGTTGGGCATTTTGTAATAGTTGCCTGATTTGTGTTCTTCTTTGTTAGGGAATAGCAAGCAAATTTATTTCAGTAAACCTCGGGGCATGATAATATTAATTGTTGTTCTTTGATATCTTGAGCTAATTCTGATTATGAAAAAAACATTTAGAAAAATCTGTTTGTTGTATTCAGAATAGTTTGTACTGTTCTGTTGTTTTGGTATGATCAGGTACCTGTTGTACAAAATGAGGTGGAGAGAATTTGTAAGTTTGAATACTGTTTAGCCCTTGATGCTTTTCTGTACAGCCATAGTTGAAGAATATGTGGTGCTGTTAAGTTAGTTTTCTGACAGCTAACACAGATGATAACAAACCTCATGATAATAAATGAGGAAGCCAATGTTACGTGCACACTCTGTGAACCCTGGCTCCAAAAAGGGCCAGTGAGGTATGTGCTACTCTTAAAATCAAGAAGGTTATCATGACTTGGTGCAGAACTGCCACTTGTGTAGGTATGGGAAATACAGCTGAATCAGTGGTGCATAGAGATGACATGTGGGCCCTGTAGTTCAGCTGTGTTTCTAATTGTCCCATTCTTCAGTTCTGTTACCAGCACATACTGTCTGTACTGCTGAAAAAGTAACAATACATGAAGGAGTTAATTTGCAGAATTTCCATCTCTTTCTGTTCTTGTGCCAGTAACTAATGGCTCTACAGGCTAAAAACAGCCTCCCTATATTAGGCAAGTTATCCATCTCCTCCCCCTTCTTCTGTGGAATTAGGTTGCAGAAACTCTTTGACTTGCATCTGATACGTACAGTGGGGCAAAAAAGTATTTAGTCAGCCACCAATTGTGCAAGTTCTCCCACTTAAAAAGATGAGA